TTATGTCACTCCCTGCAGTTTACGTGACGACCCACACCTCTTTATATGTTTGATACTCAAGGCTGTATTTGAAGGTGTCAACTCTTGCAATTTGCTCCTAAACTTTATGAATTCACCTGATGCCTACACTACAGGAAATATTCAGGACACCCACAGGGAATTCCCTCCAGGTCACTCAGCATGACTCTGTGTGGTTGGATTTTCCACCTTCCTCTTCTCAGGTGGTGCCTTGAGACCAAGGATAATTTTCTTCATTTCGGAGTTTTGTGTCCTAAGGTGACTAACAATTTTTTTTCTTTATTCATTCACGGGATGAGGAAGTCGCTGGCTGGCCCAGCATTTATTGCCCATCCCTAATTGCCCAGAGGGCAGTTCAGAGTCAACCACATTGCTTTGGGTTTAGAGTCACATGTAGGCCAGACCAGGTAAGGATGGCAGGTTCCTTCCCTAAAGGACATTAGTGAGCCAGATGGGTTTTTCCAACAATCGACAATAGATTCATGGTCATCATTAGATCTGCCGTGGTGGGATTCAAACCCTGGTCCCCAGAATGTCATCCGGGTCTCTGGATTAACAGTCCAGCGATAATACCACTAGGCCATTGCCTCCCCTTGAGGCAATTTAATCCTGGATCCACGCATTCTTCCACAGATGAGGCAGGTGATGTTTTAAGAGGAAGCTAGTTGGGATGCACCTCGGCCTGTCAAATGCTTGAGGTGGCAACATTGCAGGTGCTCCAGTTTAGGCAGTCCAGGGCAAAAGATTTCCATGTGTTAGTGGAGATGTTGTATTTTTTTTCAGGAAAGCTTTGAGGATATTGTTGAAACATTTTCTCGGTACTCATGATAACTGGTTACAATGATGAAATCAGGATAGAGAGCTTGTTTTGGAAGCTTTCCACTAGTATTCTACTGAATTTACAGATGTCAGTTAAGCAACAATGTTTCCAGCAAAATATTTCCAAGGGAAAAACCACATAATGTTTCAAATATTTACCAAGCCACGAAAGGAGCTATATGTCAATCAACCAAAGGCTTAGTCATAGAGACAGGATTCAATCGGGTCCCCTCTCGTCCTTCTCTGCTGTAAGGAAAACAACCCCAACTTATCTAGTCTTTCTTCAGTTGAATCACTCCAACCCTGGCAACATCTTGGTGAATCTCTGCTGCACTCCCTCCATTGTAATCACATCCTTCCTACAGGGTGCATGCAGTACTCCAGCTGTGGTCTAACTGAAGTCCTGTACAGTTCCAACATAACCTCTTTGCTCTTACAATCTATGTCACGACTGATAAAGGCAAGTGTCCCATGTACCTTCTTAACTATCCTATTAAACTAGCCACATTCAGGGATCTGTGGACAAGCACACCATGATTCATCTGAGCTTCCTATTGTCCTGAGTACTCCCTTGTTTTGTTACTTCTTCCAAGATGCATCACATCAGTTTTCAGGAGTAAATTCTATCTGCAACTGATGTATTCATCTGACCAAACTGTCTACATCCTATTGTAACCTAAGACCTTCTTCCTCAATGTCAACTACCTGGTCAATCTTTGTGTCATCCATAAGCTTACTTATCATCCCCCCAACAATTTACACATATCATGATCAATAAGGGACCCAGCACTGATCCCTGTGGTATACCACTGGGCACTACCTCAGTCACACAAATGGCCTTCTACCACCGTCCACTGGCTCTTGCCATGAAGCCAATTTTGGATCCAACTTGCCAAGCTACCCTGGATTCCATGTGCTTATATCTTCAAAATCAGTCTCCCACACGGGATCTTGTCAAAGGCTTTGCTGAAATTACACAAACTACATCAACCACACCTGGTCACTTCTCAAAAATTTCAATCAAATCTGTTAGGCATGACCTCCCTCTGATAAGACCATGCTATCTATTCCTGCTCAAACTTTGCCATTCCAAATGGAAATTAACTCTTTCCTTAAGAATTATCTCCAATAGTTTCCTACCACTGATGTGAGATTCACTGGACTGTATTTCCTGGTTTATCTCTACCATCTTTCTTGAAAGGTGAAACCACATTAGCTATCCTCCAGTTCTCTGGCACCTACTCTGTGGCCGCAGAGGAAATAAAAACTTGGGTCAGAGCCTATGTAATTTGTTCCCTCATCTCCCATAGCAGCTTGGGATTCAACTGATCCAGACCTAGGGCTTTGTCCTCTTTAAAGCCACCAAAAGTTCTGTTGGGGGAGCCCATGGCCAGAGGTGGCATGGGATGGCTGCCGTAGACGTTTAGTTGGCAGGGATATGGCAGAAGGGATTTTTGGCTGCAGTAACCGAATTAGCTTGCTGTGTTCAGAATTAAAGTGAGATCATAAGTTAGGACAACAGTAGCTTTGAGAAGAAGATAAACCCAAAGTGACAGATAGAACAAAGAATCTTACAAAGTAAAATACATGAAGTTCTATACAAACGCACAGTGGCAGCTATCTGTAAGAGGCAGTCTGAGAAGAGATTTTTGGGAACAGACAGCTCAAAGTTTCTAGTTTAGCAAGAATTAAAAGTATGAGTACATAATAACAGAAACTGATTTCAATAAATACCCTTGCAGGAACTTTTTTCTCCAACAGCAGGAAGATTAGAACAACAAAAAGGTATGAACAAGGTAACCTTATAAGACTACCAAGAGACAAATAAAGTAGTGAAGGGGCAGAAACAATGGTTAAACAGGGTCCTTAAGAGAATAAACAATCACTGCTTCAAACCTTACAAAGCTTAAAAAATTCAACTCAGCTTCTTTTAAGTGACTTAATGGAGTTATAAAAGTGCTTGGATTTCATTCCTATCAATGGGATTTGAATAGGTGCCACATGAAAAGTATTTAAAGTTGCGACAATAAAGTCCATCCTGTTATAAAATTTCTGTTTTAAACCATCCTACAGCATGCAAAATAGAAGAAGCTATAAAATGCAGCTACTACAGAGGGATTGGGTTTATTTGACTTTTCCAAGTCGAGAAGGAGGGAAGCTGCTCCTGAAATTGTCAGCTTTGTCACAGAATCAGAGTATTAGGTTTAGCTGTGTGTAATTTTATAAGTAACTTTATATCAGAGCTGATATAACAAATATTATTACAATTGGTAGAAATTAACATCCTTTTTAATCTTCTGCACTAAAGTCGGCAAGCAATATGAATTGTATGACGGAATTTGAAAAGTCATTAGTAATAAGCAAGTAAATGATGCAGCTGGCAAATGGCTAGGAAGGGACATAACAATCAGTGTTGGAATGTAAACTAACAGGGTACATTGTAAGATCCCAAGGCCTGATGATAACTATCTCTGGTAAACGTCATGAGATCATGGGGCACCTAAGGTTGACCATGAAGTTGTTCATCATTGATCATGTATTCACAGGATTGGATTTGTAGGTCAGAGAGGATGTGGCAAGCACTGATGTCAATGTTGTATGCAACTGGTATCTATAAATATCCTGTACTTTATTAGGAAAGGTAGAGTATCACTGACCTCTGATCTGAGTTGTATTTAAGAAGGCGACGGGGCTCCACGTGAAATCCAGATTTGGAGAGGTCTCTGGCCTCTCCCACATGTGTGGTAAAACAGCTCTGAATAAAGATCACTTGTACTGCTGAACATAGAACTGCAGACTCCTCTTTGACATCTCTCCCCAGCAAGTTCTAATAACTCCTCACTCCCTATGTCAAACTGCTCAAGAACTGCATAGACCCTTTTCCCGAATTCTGTACCTACATCCTCCTTCCATAAACTGAAGACAGATGTGAAGTACTCAGTTAACACCCTACCAAAGTCCTCTGGATTTCACAGATTGCCCATTTGGTCCATAATGGGCCCTGCTCTTTTCCTGATTATTCACACTGCTGGGAGTGTATTAGAGACCCCCAAACAGTCAGAGGGGAATAGAGGATCAGATATGTAGATAATTCACTGAGGAATATCCCCTTGATATACTGATAGGATATTTTAGGGTTCTCCTTAATCTTACCTGCAGTGTTTATTCACACCCCCTCTTTAATCTCCTAAGTAGCCCCCTGCACTTTCTGCACTCCAGTAAGGCCACTGTTGATTTGATCCCTTTAAACCTGTTAAAAGCACATCTTTTCCTTCTTATAAAGTCCTGGACATTCCTCGATAACCAGGCTTCCCTGGGGTTGTGCTCCTACATTTCAGAACATGTTGGGCCTAAACTATTGCCAATTCAATTTTGAATGCTTCCTCACCAGCAACAGCCCCAACCCCATCCTGCTGTAGATTTACCCTCAAGAAGGTGCTCCCCCACAGTGAAACAGGATGCTAGCATCCCTTTCGACACTAATTGCTGAGTTCAAATGAACCATTGTAAGGGTCAGTTCCTAGTTTGCAGCACCTGAAGTGACAAATATTTCTGCACTCCTACTCTACAATGCATAAGCTGGGTGCCAAATTGGCTGCTTGAATGATGAATGAGCTGAAGAGCAGGTAAGTGCATGAGAAAAGTTTACACTAAGGTTTTTGAGTAGATTTGTAGCTTGGGTTGTGGGTGTTGTGGTTGGTTGGCTCGCTGAGCTGGTTTGTTGGTTTGCAGAACGTTTCATTACCCTGCTGGGTAACATCATCAGTGCAGCTTCTGATGAAACATTGTTGTGTTTTCCCGCCTGGTATTTAAACTCTGGGGTCTGTTCGATTTGATTACCTCATTTCTGGTTTTCCTTCGCAGTGGTGTATACACAGGTGTATATATTACATTCACTACAGCAGATCACACGCCATGAATCCCTCCCCAAAAAAACAGGAAAATTCAGACTAAAGGAGAGAGAATATGCTGAATTCAGATAGAGATTGATATCATTAAGGACAAGAAGTTATTTGTGTAGTGGCTGAGGATAAACAGCAGTGAGGATACAGTGATGAAATTTAATCAGATTTGGAGGATGGTTGACAAAGAGAGGTCAGAGATATGAAGCAATATTAGATGCTCAAAGTGCAGTGAAAGAGATTTTTTAAAAATTCTGTTACCTTGGATACGTAGGAAGCACTAATTGTCCAGTACTGTTTGTAGGATTTGGCTCTGGTTGCAGAAACAATTTGCAGATCGTACGGGTTGTAACGAGCTTTTAGGTCATCCTGAGCTCTTAACAGACAGTACAGAAAGTCTCCTCTGTCATCCTCTGGAATTGTGGCATCCTGCAGTGAAAGGTCAGACATCACTATTTTCAACAGTAAGTTGTGTAAATGTGTACAGATATGCATATGTGTATGTATACATGCATATGTAAGGTTTAGAATGCTCATATCGGGCAGAGCCCATGAGGAAAATGAAGAAAACAAGAACTCTAGCAGGAAATTAGGAGAGCAAGGAACAGCCATGAAATGTTCTTGGTGAGAAGGGTAAAAGAGAATCCCAAGGCATTTTGTACATATGTTAAAAACATGAGGATAACTAGAGGGAGGGTAGGGCCAGTCAAGGATAAAGGAGGGTACTTGTGCTTGGAGGCAGAGGATATGGACAAGATCCTAAATGAGTACTTTGCATTGGTATTTACTAAGGAGAAGGACATGGAGGGTAGTGCGATTATTGTGGGGCATTTTGAGGTTAAGAAAGAAGAAATGTTGGATCTCTTGAAGAGCATTAAGGTGAATGAGTCCCCAAGCCCCGATGGGATCTATCCCAGGTTATTGAGAGAGGCAAGACAGGAAATTGCTGGAGCCTTGACCAAGATCTTGTATCCTTTCTAGGCACTGAAGACATCCTTGCGGACCAGTGAGTAGCTAATGTTGTTCCTCTGTTCAAGAATGGAAATAAGGATAATCCAGGAAAATACAAACCAGTGCATCCCACATCAGTGGTTGGGAAGCTATTGGAGAGTATTCTTAGGGATAGGATTTTAACGCATTTGGAAAATCATGGCCTAATTAGGGACAAACAACATGGCTTTGATTTTTTAAAATTTTTATTTTTATTGTCATATGTACTCAAGTACAAAGGTACAGGAGTACAGTGAAAAGCACTGCTCCTTAAGCTTGTGGTTTCAAATAAACCTGTTGAAGTATAATCTGGTGTCGTGTGACTTCTTACTTTGTCCACCCCAGTCCAACAGTGGCACCTCCACATCACAACTCACTGAAAGAGCACACTCCACAAAAATTCTCATCCTCAATGATGGGGGAGCCTGGCACATTAGTGCAAAAGACAAGGCTAAAGTATTCGCAACAATCTTCAGCCAAAAGTGCTGAGTGGATGGTCCATCTTGGCCTATTTTAGAGGTCCCCAGTGTCACAGATGCCAGTCTTTACCCAATTCAATTCAATCCATGTGATATCAAGAAATGGTTAGAAACATTGGATCCTGCAAAGGCTATGCACCCTGACAACATTTCAGCAATAGGGTTGAAGACTTGTGCTCCAGAACTTGCAGCATCCCTTACCAAGCTGTTTCAGTACAGCTACAAAATTGAGTAAATTTCCCAGGTCTGTCCTATACACAAAAAGTATGATTAGTGTATATAGGTCAGCACAGATTGATGGGCCAAAGGGTCTCTTCTGTGCCATGCGCCTCTATGACAAATGATTTGTGACTCACCAGATAGAAGCAGTCTACGTCCAAGTGCAGCAAGACCTGGATAATATCCAAGCTTCTTTGACAAGTGGCAAATAACATTCGCACCACTCAAATGCCCAGCAATTACCATCACCAATAAGCGACAATTTAACCACCACTCCTTGACATTCAATGGTGTTATTATCACTGAATCAATATCCTGGTGGTTACCATTGATCAGAAACTGAACTGGATTAGCTGTACTAATACAGTGGCTACAACAGCAGGTCATAAATGAGGAATACTGCAGCAAATAATTCACCTCCTGACTCCCTAAAGCCTGTCCATCATCTACACAGCACAAGTGAGGAGTGTGGTGGAGTAGTCCCCACTTGCCTGGATGGGTGCAGCTCCAATAATATTCAAGAAGTTTTACATCATCCAGGACAAAGCAGCTGCTTGATTTGGCAACATATTCGCCAACAGCCACTCCTTCCAGCACCGACACTCGGCGGCAGCAGTGTGTACCACCTGTAAGATGCAGTGCAGAAATTTACTAAGGCTCCTTAGACAGCACTTTCCAAACCCACAATCACTTCCTTCGAGAAGGACAAGGGCAGCAGATACATGGAAACACTACCACCTGCAAGTTCCCCTCCAAGCCACTCACCATCCTGACTTGCATGCTACTGTTAAACAATTGTGAACTGGTTGTCACAAAATTTTTGTCTGCTACTGACTTATCCCCAGGTTGGATTTCATGGGTTGTTGAAAATTGGAATTGATTAGGCCCAGTTTATGCCAATTTCCAGGAAAATTCATCTGACTCTGAACCCACCTCATATCCAATCATTTGATCGCACAGGAAAGCAGGAACAGGGAATAGGCCATTCAGCCCCCTGAGCCTGCTCTGCCACTTTATACAACCATGGTTGATCAAACAATAGTATCCTTAATAAGGCAAGGAGCCCAAAACTACACACAGTATTCACGTACTAATACTCATATCCTGTTAACTTGATCTCGTGTCTAACTGACCATCAGAACTCACGTCTACCTGACCATTAGAGGACAACTGACCTTGTTGCCAAATGTGCATGAAGCTTGGTGTGATGGTTTGGAATGTTAATTTTCATCCATAAAGCAAGAAGTGATGAAGTAAAGAAGTCCAACTGCTCCTCATTTTTTACACTGATTTCATGTTTTTATACCAGTTTTCATATTCCAGCTATTGAGATTTGCAGTAATGTTTGACTCAACTCACTAACAGGAAGGTCAGTATAAAGTTCAGTGCAGTTTTTTGGTTATACCTTTTCAGGAATTATACTGTAGCTTTCATCCAGCTCCACCACCCCCAGCTTTTATGTAAATATACTGCATTGTATTTCCTAAAGATTGGTTGCCATGGCAAGCCTGTCTGGCAAAGATATCGAAAAATGGCTTTGTTCAGTCAATGCATTTTCTCCAACAGAGTGACAGAGAACACTGAATGAGATATACTATAGCAGCAAACATGAATTTATTTTCAAACTAAACTTCAAGTCTCATACGTAATCAAACTTCATATCTCAGCACCAAAAGATCATCTGATCTCATGTATCACTATTACCAAATCGCGAGTCTGTTTATTTATTCATTCATTCATTTATGTATTGTCACGTGCACCTAAGTACAGTGAAAGGCTTTGTTTAGCAGTAGTACAGGCAGATCACAGGGTGAAAAAAAAATTAGACAGAGGCATACAGGTTACTTCACACAAGGTATGCTCTAAGCAAGATCAACATTAGCAAGATCAGCATTATTTGAAGTTAGTCCATTCATCAGTCTAATGATGGCCAGGAAAAAAGCTGTTCCTGAACTACTGGTGTGTGTGTTCAAGCTTCTGTATCTTCTGCCTGATGGAAGAGGTTGTAGGAGAGCATTACCGAGTTGCGATGGATCTTTGATGATGTTGGCAGCCTTTGCATGGCAATGAGCCGTGTAAATGGAGTCCACGGCTGGAAAGTTGGCTTCCATGATGGTCTAGGCTGTGCACACCACCTTCTGTCATTCCTTATAGTCCTGGGCAGAGTAGTTGCCATACCAGGCCGTTATGCACCTGGACAATATACTTTCAATGATTTGATACCTATCAGATCACATGTCTAATTGCCCATCTCATCTCGTGTAAAACTGATCATCAGATCTTATCTAAACTGATCACTACACCCATCAGACCTCACATCTAACTGACCATGAGAGCTCACATCTGATTTTGACCAGTTACCCTGTCTGACTGACCATTAATTCTCAGGTCTCATTGGTCATCAGATTTCATGTCAGACAAACCATCACCCTGATACCCTACTCACCATCTGATCTCACCATCTGTTTGACTGGCCATGACAAATTGCATATTTCACAGCCAATCAAATCTCACATCTCACTGACCACCAGCTCTCATGGCCAATTGGCAATCAGAACTTACATCTAGCTGACCATCACAGCACATGTCTGATTGACCATCAGACCTCAATGTTCAACTGACCATCAAATCCCATGTCAGGATCACCATCAGATCTCATGTCAGACTGACTAGCAGATCTCATGTCCTACTGACCATCATTCACATGCCTGACTGACTATCAGATCTCAGATTCCACTGGCTATCACTGTCATTGCTTACTGATCCTCGGAGCACATGTTTGACAGACTAAGAGATCTCATCTCCCACTAATCCTCACTTTAATATCTAGCTGATCAGGTGATTACATGTTCCACTGACCATCAGATCACATATCCGACTGCCATGAATAGATCTTATGTCTCATGGACCATCAGATCTCATGTTCAAATGGCCATCTACAGATCTCATGCCTGACCTACCATCTGATCTCATGTCTGATTGTCCAACACTTGCGTGTAGGACTATTAGACCTCACTTCTCACTGACCATCAGTTCACATATCCAACTGACCATAAACAGATCACACAACTTACTAATCATCAGATCACATATCATAAAGACCATCAAAAATAGGAACAGGAGTAGGCCATTTGGCCCATTGAGCCTGCTCCACCATTCAAAAGGATGATGGTTGATCCAACATTCCTCATATCCCCTTCCTTTTAATAATCTTTGATTCCCCTACTGATCAAGAATCTATCTACCTCAGCCTTAAATATGCGCGAAGACTCTGCCCATACAGTTCTCTATGGCAAAGAGTTCCAAAACACACAACCCTCTGAGAGAAGAAATTCCTCCCCATTTCAGTCTTAAATTGACATTCCTGAACATGAAGCACTCATGAAAGATTGCATGCTTGTGTACCATCAGATCGCATATCTGACTGCCCATTAACAGATCCCATGTCTCTTGAACCATCAGATCACATATCTGACTGCCCATGAACAAATCACATATCTCACTAAGCACCATTCTCATGTCTGACTGGCCAGCAGATCATATGTCCCACTGATAATCAGATTTTAAGCCTCACTGACCATTAGATTTCAGGACCAATTAATCATCTGATCTTATGTCTGATTGACTACCACCATCTTCATGTCTGACTGACCATCAGATCCCTTACCCACCTGATAATCAGATCACATTTCTCACTGGCCATCAAGCCTCATATCTAACATGTCCTGTCGGCATCATATCTCATATTTATCTGACCATCAG